ACAGAGCTTAAGCTGCTGACATAACAAGCAAGGGACTTTCTGGTGTGAAAGGTTGGATGGACAAACGAATGGACAGCTGTATAAATGGAAAAGTCAGAAGCCCAGTAGGTAAATGGATGAACAGACAGACGAATGAATGGGTGAATGTGCCCATCCTCATAATGGGGGTCATACAACCTCAAACCGTGGGCCTGCTCTTTTGCCCTCAGAAGACCTCAGGCTCAGCAACCTGCTGCTTCTTCCCGTCTGAGAATTTTGAGTCACTCCAAAAGGTCAGTGGAGTCTGGGTTAACCCTCCTGCTCCATCACCATTCTTAGCTCCACAGGGAATGCACACTCCAGTTGTCCATGGGGCAGGTGTTCATACTGGCTTCCGCTGCCACTAGCAGAACTCCTGGTGGAGGAGGCAGAGTAGAAGAGGGGAAAGATGACGGGCCTTGGATTCAGACTCTCCTGGGTTATAATCATTGGCCTGCCCCTTATTAGCTGTGTGGTCTCAGGCTTAGTTGCTGAACCTCTCTGATTCTCAGTTCCTTAATATATAAAGTGGAAACAATAAAACCCATCTCATGGAGGTTAAAAAGCATAGCACTTGAAATATACATAGCATAGTGTCCAATACTTAGTAGGCAACCTGGAAATGTCTGAGGAATGAAAGAATTTTAAAAGTATGTTAGTTTGCTTTCTTTCAAAAGCATGTCCAGGGGCAGATAACATATTTAAATATGGTTTGAAGACGATTGGCCTTTTCAGTTACACAAATGATTGCATAGTTTTACCAACAGAGGCTCTTAGATAATTTGCACCAGGTACAAAGGTAACTGGACCCAGTGAGGTTGCTTCCCTTTTCTGCATCTCAGTTTTCCTTCCTGCAAAATGGGCCAGGTTAAACTTAAACACTGGCTGGGTGCAGAATGAGTAGAATCCAAAGAGCTGATTGGCTAAAGACCCACCTAACCCCTTACTGACCAGGCTGGAGAGGCTGCAAGAAGAGCCTTGAAAATGAGTCCAAGAAGGAACGACTGGAGACCAAACATTACTAAATATTTTTCCCTTTTATGGGTCGGTGCTCTAGATCACCACTTCCTGGAGCTGTATTCTAAACTTTGCTGTGATGGATGCGAGGTCCGCGTGCCCACGAGCTCCCGCAGAACCCAGATGTCACCCTGGGGGCGGGACTCTGCTTTTACCTCGCTATTTTAAGCAGCAAGTTTATAATAATGGATGGGAGAGAAAACAGAAGGGCAGGAGCAGCGTGGGAATGGCCCGGGCAGGCGCGCTGCTGGGACTCCCCCGAGGAGCTTGGGGTTCCGACTTGTCAAGTGTGGGACCTCAGCCAGCCTCTACTCTGCTTATCCTGCAGCAGCTGACACCTTTCAGTGTGGCTTAATTCGTTTCTGTTTTACTTTGCTTTCTGACCCAGGGACTGAATTAAGGTCTTTCTTGAGGAGTAGGAGGCAGAGGAAAGGAAATGGAGACATTTCTGAAGTGACTTCAGAATGCCATGATCCCAGAATCCTATGGGATGAGACCATCAAATCTGTGGTTTATTGTGACTAGAAAGAGTCCAGGACTTTAGGGACATCCAAGGTTAGAAAAGACCTCCGAAGTGGGTAGGAATCCTGTGACCCTTGCCCCAGCCTTTGCTGAAACTCTCCCTAGAACGGGGAGCTCACTATCTTAGAGGGCAGTCCATTGCATCTTCAGGTGATTCCAACCGCTAGAGAGTTTTCCCTTCCTTTGATTTGACCTTTCAGTCATTGTTCGTGAACCTTTCCTTTGGGAACATGAATGGCTTTCAAATATCTGAGAAGAGATCCCCCACCCCCACCCCGCACCTTCTCTTCTCCAGACTAAAGATCTTTAGTTCTTTAAACACAACTTCTTGTCTCTCTACATCCTGCTTCCCTTTTATGAACATCACCAATTTGTCTGAATCCTTTATAGCACGCAGAGCACAATATACTGTGTAGATTAAGACATAAAGAAAAAGTGGAACTGTCACCTCCCATGTTTTGGAAAGCATACCCCTATTAAGACAGCCTGGACCTGCACATACATCACATATCATTTTAAGTGATTTCTTGGCAGGTGCAGCCAACTTCCCTGATAGAACTGGGGTTTGTGGATACTCTTGTTATCTTGCTACCAGCACCAATGATATCACTGCTGCTGAAATCCAAGTAAAGATAATAGAAATTAATCACAGAGCTCACCGTTGGGCAAATAAAAAGCTCAATTTATTCCCATAGTGACCAATTAGGATGGGGGATAGCATGACCTGGCCCCATAGCTCTCATTCCTGAGAGCTAGGATCAATCTGTCCAGCACGACTTCTCCCTTCCTGTCTCATCTCCCCCTCTAGGCCTCCAGCTAGTCCGTTCAGAGAAATCCCATTTAGCCTTTTAGTGTTCATGGCTCAGCTCAAACACCATTTCTAATGTAGACTCTTCACCAAAACTATATTCCACCCATCATCACCCCATAGTTAGGAACCTTTCTCTGGGATCCTGCAACTTCTCACTTTCAAATTATTTACCCCATTATGCTGTTTTCCACCTGCCTCTTGCCACCGTGCTTTGTTCTTCTCCAAGGCCAAGGCCTCATTTTCATCATCTTTGTGTCACCGGCACCTAGCACAGGGCCTGGTAGGGTGGGTGTAAAGTGAGTGCTTGTGGTGAATGAATGAACCAACCAATAACTCAGTTCATGGATATTCTACCTAAGATGAGATGTCTTGAGCTGTCCAGCAGGGGTCACCACACTGTTTCGCAGGTGCATGGGACTACCTTTCCACTGCAGAAAATGAAGAAAGTCAAGGTGACAGTCACCTCAACCATCCCCGGGGCTGAAGTTCTCTAGTCTTTAAATACAAATCAACAAAAATTTTTGGATAAATCTTCTGGTTATCTTTAAGGAATCAGACCTCTTGCCTGCACCTGGGAGATCAGTCAGGGGTGCATGTCAAGTGTGGGTGTCTGTCAGGGCCGTGGCTGATGCCAGACATGAGCCTGCCCCACAGCACTCTGGCTCTAGGTCCTTCTCGAGCCCTTTCTGTGGGAAGGAAAGATATCTAGTATCATGGGAGGTGGCAGCGCTTTCTGGCTCTTCCTCCTGGAGCCTCCAACAGTCTGTGTCTTGTATAGTAGGTACTCAGTAAATGAGAGCGTCCTCTGGTCTCTGCTTTTGTGTCCCAGCAGCTCCCCGACTATGGCTGAGGGCAGGGTTTAAGGACGACCCTGTGTCTGGTGGTTTTCATCTGCTGCCCAACAGAGCAGCTCCTTCAGGAACCTCTGAAACTGTAGAACCACGCTAGTTGTTGGTTCTACAGGTCTGCGAAGGTGTCCACACCCCACTAGGGGAAAGGGACCTGAAGGAGTTTAGAGGTGGAAAGAGGTCAGGCAGAGCCCCCTGGACTCCAGCCAAACTTCCTAGGCTGCAGATCTCCAGCACCTACATGGCCTCTGGGAGCACTACTGCATGCTGGGCACTCTGCCTCATCGCATCCTTGAAACAGTCCTATGTGGGAGGCATTCTCACCTCTGTTCCCCTGACTCGGAAACCGAAGCTCAGAGGTGAAGCCAATGTGTAAGGCCACATAGACACCGAGAGGCAGAGTGGGGATCCAAACCCAGGAATCTGGTTTCAAAGCCTGTGCTCTTTCTACGTTGTTATCCTGTCTCTCTAGATGGAGACCCAACATCACTGGTCTCCTTTTCTAGGAGCAAGCAGAGGAGCCAGACCCACTGGCTCAGGTCAGTTGGAGAGACCATGGTCCTAGGCCCCTTGACTGGCAAGGAAAATGAAAGAGCAGTCAGTGGTTACAATTGACAGTATAGTAGTTACATGTTAGTAGTTACAAGAAAACCCAAGTCACAGGTAAACTTTGATCAGGGCTCCAGCTCCATTTCCCTGCAGGTGTGTTGACTCTGCCCCATCCTCTGTGTGTGGCAGTTTTATCCTCAGTTTGGTCTTCCCCATAGAAGCAAAATTGCAGCAGCAACACCAGGCCCACGTCTGCATGCTTTACCAACCGGAGCAAGAGAAGGCATCTGGGCCCCAGCACACTGCCATGAGCTCATGGGCTTAGGCTAAATCCCTTGTCTTTCCCTGAGTCAATCACTGTGGCAAGATGGATGAGAGTAATGCTAACTGGAATCAATCCAGCAGGACCTCAGGCTGCTACACCACAGGAGGGGGCAGCCCGGGTTAGGAGGAGGCAACCCAAGATTTCTGGGGTGAATGCTGCACGGGCACATGAGATCCACCCAGGCCAACCCTCCAGAATCATGGCTTTAGCAAGGCTGACAGGCCCAATGAGGCCCGTCCACAAGTGAGAGAGCCCCGTACTGAGGGTTGGAAAAGCTGCTGAAGGGTATGAGGCAAGCCATGAGGCAGGAAGACAGGAAGCACCATCCCTCCCTCCTCCCCCACCCAGCCAAGGAAGGCTGTGTGGTATAGTGGAAAGACCTCTGGCCTCAAAATCAGGAAGATCTGGATTCAAATGCTTGGTTCTTTCTGTGAGTTGGGCAAGTGGCTGCCACTCTCTGAAGCAGTTTTCTCATCTATGAAATGTGAATATTGGCTCCTGCATCAGGGGTCATCATGAGGATTAAATTAGGCAATGTTGGTAATGCTCCTAGGATTGTGCCCGGCACCCAGTAGGTGCTCAATAAATGGTAGACAAGTACATCTGATCCCTATGGAGTGTCCTCCATTAGCTGTGGCTTTGAGGAGATTGAAGCACTTTTCTCTCTTTCAGGATAGCTGTGTTTACTGTAAGGGCCAAATTAGATGCAAAATCTCTAAGGCCACCTCTGACTTTGTAAACAGAGCTAGTGAACAGGAGGGAATGCAATTCCAAACGCCCTCTATTACCACCTCTGGTGTTGACGAAAACTCGGGCAGGCTCTCTCTGCGGCTCATGACCCCTGGAAATGGAACCCAGCTCGGGTCAGGGATGGGAGTGGATTTGACTTGTCCTTTTGACATCTCCTCAGCCTGCGGAGCCCAGGCCTCTTGGAGCATCTTTTGGGCTGACACAGCAGAGGTTCCGGGCACCCGTGGCCACTCCTGCCAGAAGGCTGCCATGCCCCACATTCCCGAGGACGAGGAGCCCCCCGGAGAGCCACAGGCAGCCCAGAGCCCCACCGGCCAAGTAAGTGCCCCCTCCCTGCCTGTGGCTAGCCTGGCCCAGGCCAAGCCAAGCGCCCTGGGCTGAGGTCACAATGCCCAGCCTGGCCAGAGGGTTTGCCGACAGCCCACGCAGGCTGCAGGGGGCGGCTGGGGAAGGTGTGCAGTGTCCACATAGGAATAAACACACAAAGGTCCTTTGACTTGCCCAAGGCCCCCACGTACCCTGGGAGTGGAGCCTCCTAGGCTGTCTGAGGCTTCCTGGGACATCAAACCACCCTAACCCTGTAGGCTCCCTCCCACAATGGAGAAAGGCTTGGAGGAGAGCCTCATCATGTCAGGGTCGTGAGCACCAGCAAGAGTCACAGCGAATCCATTTAAAATGAAGATCAAATTTTCATAGTAAATAGTGAAAAATAATTTTAGCAAAATTATATTATTTAAAAAGGAAATGGTGAAAGTAAGTTGATTTAAAGGGTCTCACTGAGATTGTATTGTAAAAATGAAATTATGAAAGCAAGTTATTTTTAGCAATATATACTAGAAAATATAGATTACATGTCACTTTTTAGAATGAACAAAGAATTAATTGAATGTGTTCCTTTTGGCGTGGGTATGTTTACTTTTATACCAGCAAGACGATCTGTTCACTTGATACACTTCCTTCACATTTTTCTGTACAGCACCTTCATGCGGAGATTCTGTTTAATATTTAAAATCTTCATTTCTTTCCCAAGGAGCTCTTTCAGTCCTTCAATGTTCAAACCATTCTCTTGCGTCAACCTAGTCCGGCTCCATCTGCTCCTCATTGGTCCAAAGCCTTGCACGTGAAATTCTCCAACCTTGTTTCTTTGACCTGGTGAACTTTGCACTGAACTTGCATCATCCTGTCGTATCTGACAGTTATCCCAACTGCCCTTGGCCAGAAGAGATAGACACTTGTTAAGTGAGGGAAGAATGCACGAGGGAGCATTCACTTGACAAGTGGGAAGATTCTTAGTGAATATTTGCATGTTATGATGACATTTGTTTTCTTACACATCATAACTCTGGCCACTTAGCTAATAAATACTTAGAAAAGAATGGCCTCTTGTATCTCCATGTCCCAAGCTCATGGTGTTGCAGAACTTGGCAGCCTTGGGAAGCCCTTGAGTTTCTAAATGACAGTGGGCCAAGCCCCATGCTTCAGCTAAAGGCAGCTGGCTCAGGGTTTTATTGAGGCTACTCCCAGGAATGTCTTGGGCACTGTGGGTGCTGCTCCTCGGTTGCTCTCAGCGGCTCCAGGTTGATCCTCTGTTCCTCTGCGGTGACTGCTGACCTCCCCAAACTCGGTGCTCTGCTGCAACCCCTCTCCTGATGTGGTTCCTACCAAGCGAGGACAATTCCCCCAAAGCATTGCCAACAGTGGACTATAAGGTTTAACCAACCAAAAAATGTGTTAATCTGCTGAAAACTTGGAGATTAAAGAAAGGAATGACTACACAGATCAAAATATTCCCATCTGGAGTCAAATGTGACTGCTCCAGTCCTCAGGTCACTGTTTTCTAGGGTTCTTTCCCTTCAGGTTCCCCTACTCCTCAGCCCTGGACTCCTTGCCTTGGCTATCCCTGACCACTTCCACATCACTAACAATGATTGTGCCCTTAAGCCAGATTCTGATGCAAAAATCTAGCTCTGAAATCCTGGGCCACTCCCCCAAACAGCTGCCATGCTGTGCTCCCCAAGAATACAAGTATTCCTAAAAATAATAATAAAAGATCAGCAAAGATGCAACTGTACCCTCAGTGAAGAGATCTTTTTACATTGAGTTTGGTTCATTTTGGTTCCCACCTTCTCTAAAAGATTCTTCAAACCTTCTCAGGAGACAGAAAACCAGACAGCACAAAAGCCTGCTGGCCCTTCTGACCATCATGGCTTCAAGCCACACACAGGTGCAGCTCCATTGGGTCAGAGGTGAGGATGAGTTTTTAGAGGTGGTCAAGCAGGGGATGGGCTCCAAGAGCCCACCACAGTTGAGGGGCAGAGAAGCCTAGCAGAATGGCTGGAGCTCCAGATTCCTTGTCCCCACAGCTCATTCTCCCTGTAACCATGAGCTAGAGCCAGACTTCTATAACATGAGGGGTTGGGCCCTACGATCTCTGAAGTTCCTTCAAATGCCACGACTCTATCTCCATGCTTATGAGAAGTCAAGAAAAGAAAGAGACTGTTTGTGGGTCCAATAGCCTCTGCATTGCCAGAGCCCAGCAGGAGAAGGACCCCTGAGGAGTTCAGGTGAGCCAGAGCCAGAATGCTCCGGTCTTACAAAGGAGGACCATGAGCACAGGATATAAGAATGTGGATTCTGGAACTCACACCAAGCTGGGGTCCTCCACATTCTGGCCAAAAGAACTTGTGTGAGGCTGTTAAATTTTCTGTGCTTCTGATTCCTCATCTTTTCCCCAGGGCAACTATTAGTACCGGGCTCCTAGACTCTGTCTGTTCAGCCAGTCTTTGAGTGCCTTCTTTGGCCTGAGGGACAGCAGAGCTAGGGCAGGGTAGACCTCAGACTGAAGGCCACGTCAGATTCAGCATTCTTTTATTCTTTGCCCTTAGTGACAGGCACAGGGCCTTCCTGAGTTCTCCAGAAGCCCATAGTCATTGTCAATGAAGAGCATCTCCCTCAGACAAGCCTTGCCAGGCAGCTACAGCCTCAGGGGAGGGTCAAGCCTGTGAGCTGGGCTGGACCCTCCAGGAGCTGGAGCCTGATTCCTTGGGAGCAGCAGAAACCAGGCAGCCAGGGAAGCAGGGTTGGCCAGAAGGGCTCGGCTGGAACTCCCGGTAGCGTGTGAATTCCCACTCTGTGAGGCAGGCAAAGAACGGAGCATCCTTCTGAGTTTACAGCTCCCCGGGGTCCAGCCTTTCTTCTGGTTCCTCAGTCCCCAACCCCCATTTCCCATCACTGACACGAGCACTAGCTGAGGCCTTCCCACACAAAAAATGCTAAAGCAGTAGACCTAGATCCTGTTTTTCTTTCTTTACACACACATACACTCACACACAGACTCACACACAGACACACACACACACACACTCACACTTTAGGTCCTCCATCAGAAGCTATAATCAAAACCCACAAGGAACTGAAGCTTCCTGCCAGTGCACTCTGTGAGACTGTGCCCTGAGCATGTTTTCTGGGTTGGCCTTTGAAGGGGAGGGGTACCTCCCTGGAGACCCCTTAGAAAATGTGTGCTCCCTCGTGGGCTAAAAAGGACCCAAAGAATCCATTCTCTCTGTCAGGAATGAGATGAAGACAAAGTAGATATTAACATGTAAAACATTTGGGACCTGGTAAGGACTGTGCAGAGTGGGGACAGCTCACCCACTGAGAACCCTCATGCCATGTTTCCCATGTGACAGACACTGTAGTCTCTAAACACTTTATAAGCAGTGACCTCACAGCTCTAGGAGATAAATGCGATTACTATCCCATTTACAGATGAGAAGATCATGGTGGGTGAGCCTACTCCAGTCACCAGAAACCAGGTGGCACTGTGAAAGCTCCAGCTGAGGATTTTGAATTTGTCCCCTTGAGCTCCTTTCTACTTGTCTCAGCACACCCTTTGCAAGAACAGCTTAGATTAAGATCCTCAATGAAATATCTTTAAGTAAATGACCAAGAAAGCACTAGAATCTGCTGTACGAGATATTGGAGACATCTGTTGGGCACCCACTATGTGCTCATTCAGCCAAGGTAGATGTTATTATTATCTCTATTTTATAGAAGAAGAAATGAAATCTCTGTGAGGTTATATGATTGTCAAAGGTCACCTACTTGTGTCATGTTCAGTAGAGACTGAAACCCAAGTGTCTGCTGAGGAGTTCCTGTCAGCTTTGCCTCCTTCCCTGGCCCCACCCATTGGTAAAGCCAGTGCCCTGGACACCAGAGCCCCCAGGCATGGGGAGCAGGTGCTTGATGCCCCATTCTCAGTGGAAAAGAAGTTTGGAAAGGATCAAGAGGACAGTTCCACCAGGGTGGCTTCTAGTGGTTCTGGTCACAGAGCAAGAGCTGTGAGACTAGCGGTGTGAGTGCCTAGGACAAAGCAGAACGTGCTTGAGAAAGGTTGGTTGTTACAATGGTCAGGGATGTATATTACATTTATTTGTCCTTAGTTCCTATTCTGAGCAACGGAGTAGCTTGTCATTTTTTGTTTCTCTGACTCCCCTGTCGGACTACATGTGAGCTGTAGGGCCAGGGGCTGTGTCTGTCATGTGCGTTTCTCCGTTTCTCAGCAGAGGCTGTAGCTGCAGTGGTTGCTTACGGGAGGAGGGCTGGCTGGAGGCGTGATAGGTTGGGTGGATTATTGGCAGGCCGGGTGATTAAATTCCTGGACTGAAGTGGGGAAGAAATGGAGGGAGGAATGGCGTTAGGAAAGGAGGAAGGAGGAGAGGATAGAAGATGAAGATGGATGAGTGACCGGCTGGCTGGGTGATGCGCTCTCCATGGAGTGAGGCCAATAGACATTGTGCGCACGTCCATACCCCTGAAGCCCGTTGGCATGAGAGAGAAGCAGAGCTCGGCAGAGGCACTTCCGCTCTCTCCCGTGCTCTTAGGACTTGCCTCTGGAATAATCATTTTCCCGCAAGTCCCCGGAGAGTCTTTCTATCCTGTCACAAGAGCACTAATTCCTCTTTGTGGCCAGAGCCCCCCTTCCAGAGGCAGTCCCTGTTTGCCCTCCAGGCTGTGAGAGAGGAACCACAGTGCCTACCCTCCACCACTACCCTCACCACCATTATTATTATTGCTTTAATTCATCAAAGCCTTAAAACAAGCCTGGGAAATGGGCATTATTAGCGCCACACAATGTTTGAGAACATGAAACAGAGAAGCTAAGTAACTTGTCCAAGGTCACCCAGGCGGGATTCCAGTCTAGGCCTCCCTGACCTCACCACCCCACACTGCCTTCTGGCAAGGTCCTTCTCTCGGCCAGGCCCAAGTGCGGGAGCTAACCTCTCCACTCCCGCCTGCGCTGGGGCTGGGGCTGGGGCAGTTGCTTGGAGCTTCCTAGCCCAGGCCTACTCACGTGACATTGGGGAAAGGAAGATAATATTCCCGTCTATGACACTGGCCTATATTTATCCCTGCACCCAGGCAGTTAGGAAACTGTTGTGCATTCCTGGGAACTTTTGAGTGAAATAAATATTTAAATGTTTCTATAAGTTTATTTAAGGAGAACAAAATGTGACCCGCTGGCTTATTATAGGGTGGGTGAGCTTGGGGGGTGGCCCAGTGTCCCAGCGCTTGGCTGACTGCAGGGAAGGGAAATGGACCCAGGGGAAGCTGGGCCCCTGGAAGGGTGAGGGGGTGCCCCTGCTCTCTTTCTTCAGCTGTGTGTTCAGCCTGGCACTTCGAGGGCTCCCTGGAAGAAGGGGCTTATGAGGGAGAGTGCAGCTTGGAAGAATAGAAAGGAGTGTTAGAGACCTGTGGGACACCAGGAACCGGGGAGGTGAGACCAAAGACCTGGAGATGGCTATAAGAGTGGCTCATGTAGAGGGAAAGCCAACAGGCCTAGTGTTTAGTCCCTTCCCCTGTTTACCACCTGCACAGCCCTGGACAAGTCTGTTTTCTGTTGGTAAGGTGGGGATTGAAGTGGTAAAGAGAGGAGAGAAAGGAAATGTACCAATCACCTACTTCACACTCAGGGCCTTCACTTTCTCTTCTCATTTCCTCTTCACAATTCTATGAGCTCAGGTGGTATTACCACCCCCAAGTTGGAAACAGGTATTCTGAGGTTCATTCACAGAATTGCTGGTAGGATTGAATGAGAAGGCACCCAGGAAGGTCTGGGTCAGGGCCTGGCACACGGCAGGTCTGAGAAAGTGTCACTTCCCTCTACCCTCATTTGTTCCTTTGCTTCTTGTGCCTGGAACCCACAAAGGGCATGTGTTCTTGGTCTGAGAAGCAGATGGGAAGGGAGCGGTGGAGCCTGGTGGATGTGGCCTTGGCGGTGGGCTTCTCTGGGAGTTACTGTTACTCAGGCTGTGTGGTCAGGTGCCTGGGGAAGGTGCTCTGTGGCTCCACCAGAAAGGCTGGGCCTCTTAATTTAACTCCAGATGATTGCTGAGACCCAAAACCAATAAGGATAGTCTCTTCAAAATCCAATTCCAAAGTAATGAAGGTAATAATAACAGAATAACATCTGACACTCGTTGAGCATTTACTAGGGGCCAGGTACCCCCACAAGTTTTCCATCTGGAGCTGCCAGATTTAACGAATGAAAATACAGTTATGTCCATTCAATATTTGGGGCATACTTATACTAAGAAATTATTTGGTGTTTATCTGAAGTTCAAGTATAACTGAGCATCCTGTATTTTATCTGGCAATTCTACTTCTATCTCAGCCTGTTTAATCCTTGTAACTACCCTGTGACACCATTAATTTACAGGTGAAGTAACTGAGGCACAGAGAGTCAAGGGAATTTACTCAAGTTCATACAGCTAGTAAGTGAGAAACTGTGTCATGAATTAGTGTGGCTCCCAAGGCCCCAGCCCTTGAAGCCCTGAGGCCAGGGATTTGCCTGGGGTCTGTATTTGGCCACACTGCCCCCTGCCCCGCAAGCTTTCTTCAGGTCCTGCCTCTGTTTGGCAGTTGAGAGTGGGAGCAGGGATAGGTATTTACACCACATTAACACCTGGCAGAATTTACCCCAGAGGGCCCCTGAATCTTCCCACACTCTCTCCTGAATCACTGTCTCCTCAGAGCCTGCCAGGGTGAAACACGGCCTGCACAAGACTGAATGTTCCCATCAAAACAGTTCTGAAAAAAACTAGAAGTTGTACAGAACTTGCTCAACCATTCTGTGAGCTGATTAGGGAAAGAACACTTTGATTTTATTACTGTGCATTTTGTACACATTAGAAGGAGAAAGCGGGGAGCATTCCAGGACATTCCATCAGGGATAAAGGATTTCTCCCTGATTGCTTCATGCCTCCTGGCTTTTAAGCAGCTTAAAATTGTGTGGTTACATGCTTGGCACTTGCCACCCACGGTTTGTTTCTGTCTTTGTCTGCCCCAACCCTCCTCCGAGTGAGGGTTCCTGCAGCCCCATGCATGGCAGCCACCTCAGTAGAACTTTGCTGTAAGTGGCCTTGAACCAGAAGGCAGAGAAAACTTTCACCAGAAAGCAGCCTCCCAATGCCTTGCAGCCCATTTACCTCACAAGCGTCAACCCCGAGGACACCAGGGCCTGACTGCTACCTGGGGATGGGGGTTGGGGAGAGGGTACTTCCACCCCACTTTCCACCCCATCGTGCTAACTGGGAGCACTTCAGAGGCCTGCCTGGTTTACCGTTGCCTTCCCAGGACCTGCCATAGGCCTCGACACATAACAGGCACCAGCAAATGCTTGCCTGATGGACAGAACGAAGCACAATAACGTGAGAATGTTTAGAGATTGGCCCCTCTTGTACCCAAAGGCTTTCAAAACCTTCTGTGAGCTGATCATCAAGAGAGGAATCAAAACAATCTGCTCAATAAATAGTTGGGTGGAGCCTGAGTAAACTGGGGGGTGGGGAGCGAGAAAGGGTTTGGGGGTCAGAGAAGCAAGTGGAGAGTCAAAGGGGAGAGGACAGGCAAGGGTGGGAGTTGAGAGTCCTTCCTCTTTCAAGTCCTTTGAGAGGCGGGAGTGAAGACGAGCTCTCTCTGGTTGGCTTTCTTGTCCAATGAACAGTTCTTTAAGGCATCCTTCGTAGAGCCTGGGCCACGCGGATCACAGCTTCATTAGGTTCAGGTTAAACTCTTGAACTTCAGAGTCAAACCCTGGATGGTTAGGAGGAGCATGCATTTCTCTTGACCTGCCAGGGATGTGTATATTTACCAAATCCTTCCATTTTTATAGTCTCATGGTTTTTAAAAATATTTTATTTTTGGTTACTTCAAATTGCTTTAGGAAATAGGTGCCATGTCAATAAAATAAAACAAATAAACCATAGTTTATTAACTTAGCAACCTGAATATATTCAGCTCTTGGACATGGGGATATAGTATAACCCCATCACCACCACCATTGTTTTGTTTTGTTTCAGAACACAACATGCAGAAATTAATGATTGGCCCCTCCTGCCCCTTGATGTAGACCTATCCCATCTGCACCAAAGCATGCTGGGAATTTGTAAAAGCCCCTCTCCAAGGATGGCAGAAACATTATGATATAGCTAGCATGAAAATGATATTTTAGCCAAAGTACATTTTTTTGTTCACCAAAGGATTCATATAAGAAAAATTCTAAATATGACAAATATGAATATATTCAGAGCTCAAACTTTCATGATCAAAATAAAGTCCACCCAGAGAAGGAACCTCACACACAAGCAGTCAGTGTTTCAGTTGACATTCCTATGGTAACAGTCACCCATGAGGAAAGAGGCTCCATCAAGATGATGTGGGAGTTGTGCCAGATGAGTAAGTGCTAGAGATCTAGGTGCCTGGAGTTAACAATACTGTACTGCGTACCTAAAGATTTGCTAAGATCTTACAAGTGTTCCTATCATCATTATCATCATAAATAAAAGGCAAAAGGAAATTTTTGGAAGTGATGAATAGGTTTATGTCATAGATTGTGGTAAGGATTTCACAAGTGTGTACTCTCTAAACTCATCAAGTCGCATGCATTAAATATGTACAGATTTTTGTATGTCAATCATAACTTAATAAAGTGGTTTAAAAAGCAAAAAGATGACATGAGTAGAGGAGGTTTTAAGCACATACATTTACTCAAATGTAGGACTGTCGCTGAATGTCAGGAATATGTGGGTGCCACCACCTCTTCTGACCTCCATGTTTCCCAACCAGGTGACCTCAGCCTGAGCACTCTGCCACATTTTTCTTCAATTGTCAGTGATTTCCTAGATTGTCACCACTGATGGCTTAGAGGTTCCCTAATCTTAGTGCATGAAAGGTGGACATTTTTAAGCTCAGGTGAATGACTGCTGGGGAAGGAAGGAGAATAGACAGATAGGTAGATAGATATAGATGATATAGATATACATATAGATATACATATAGATAGATGATAGATGTATAGATAGATAGATCTTTCTCAGAATAATCCAAATAAACTCCATCTGTCCCCTTATCAAGATGGCTCTGAGTGTCATGATGCTGGAATACATGCTCCAGCTCCAGCTCCTGGAAGCTTCCTCCATCCCAAGCCTAAGTCCATCTGTGTTTTCGTTCTAAACCACCAGGGCCCTCCCGCCACAGGAATATCTTGCAGTCCACCCACCATCATCCTGACTGGGGATGCCAGCTCACTGGAAGGAGAAACTGACAAAAACCTGGCCAACAGGTACATCCCAGGTGCCTGATATTTGTGCTGTGAACAATATTTCCTAGCACACAGGGATTAGACAGCTGTATTTTTATAAATCTTTCCTTCTTTCACGAATCATTTTATTGATGAAAATACAGTTACGCAATTTTTCGAAATGAAAGAGAGAGCTTGGGATCTTTTCATTATCTTTCCCTCTCCCTCAAATTATTTTCCCTCTCCTGGTTTGGCTTTTTGCACTCTGCAATCCTTTTTTTAAAAAGTACAAATCATAGCAGAGGACTTTCCTGTAACAACTGCCCAGATGTTTGCAAACAGACCTGAAGGATGTGAATCTTTGGTCCTGGGTGGAGGATGATCTCTTGGAAGGGACCTTGGCTCACACACACGGGGATGTCACTGCCTTGGTTTTACACAGCACCAGCCCATGCATTAGTCTAGCTAGAATGAGATTATACAATTTCCAGAATGTTACAGAGATAATTCTCATACAAATATATAGTGAGCATGTGTCAAAGATATATTTAACTCATTAAAGAAGGACCCATTAGGGTAACAAAGCCAGTTCAAAGGCGATTATAAGAAACAGATATACATATCTAATCACTGAGAAGGAAAAGAATGCCGGGATAAAATTGCTAAGTTAGATACAAAATAAGTTAATGTTCTATGGGGCAATGAAATATTTTTACCTTTTCCTAAGCAGAAATCATCTGCATCTCTACCAGACAACAATTATTTATATTTTATGAGCTTTCTATGAGTTAGATGCTCACTCTGGGCGCTAATACACAGCAAGTAGTCAAAGCTACATCTCACTAGGGCAGTGGTTAGGAAGCTTCAGCATGCAGGCGCCTCAGCTGCAGAGCCTGGTCAATCTCGGAGGGCTTGGCCGCACCCTCAGAGTTTCAGATCTAGTAGGCCTGGGGTGGAGCCTGAGAATTTGCATTTCTAACAAGTTCCCAAACTTAGAAAAGCTTGTAAGACGATGCTCTCATATGACTTTGAAAAAATACAAAGGCATCTGTTGGCCTTTTTCCAAGCTGTGGACAATTTTCTAACAAGATGGCTCTGTCCTTTCAGAGCTCACAGTCCCCACCGGAGGCTTTCTCACCGACACTTGAAGGTTTCCACTGCTCCGCTGACTTCTGTGGGTAAGGCTCGGCCAATTTATCTTACTTCTGCAACTGGAGATAGGGGTCCAGCTGAAGGTGTGTTTGAGTAGGAAGATTGAGGTCTGGCAGTTTGGCCAGGCCAGGCCCCTTGCTACATCCTGCTCCTCAGACAGGCCCATCCCTATGAGCCCAATAGGACAAAGTCAATCAGCTCCTCCGTGTTGGTGCCCAAGAGAAGTATGATGTTTCATCTCAGTTTCTTTTGGTAAAAAGACAAGACCAGAGTGTGAAGACAGGGCCTGTCTCTGTTTGACAGGGAAGTCAACGAGAGAGAGAATAGCTGTGTGAGTCTCAATTTCAGGGTTCAGGGAGTAGGGTCCTCTGCCCCTCTGGGAAGAATGTGCTTGAATGCAAGTCTACCCCAAATGGTCCCTCAGAGCCTGCTCTGGACCATCAGAGCACAGATATGATGCAGACTTGGTCCCTGCTTTCACGCTGCCCATAGTCTATGAAGAAACTGAGAAGTGAACAGATAGAATCAGGACTTTGTATTATAAAACCCTTTACAGAAGTGTTAAGGAAATGGAGGCAGAAAGGGGCCAAACTCTCCCTGAGGAGGGGGAAGTTTGGATAGGTATTCCAGAGGACAGAGTATTTGAGTTGGAGAGATAGAGAAGAGGGAGAAAAGGCATTGCCTTCCAGGTAGAAGAAGCAACGAGCGGGGAGCAGAAGCCATGACAGAGCAACTGAATGTTCAGCCATGTGTATCAGTCATGGCTCTCAAATGATAGAAACCCAACTCAAACTAGCTTAAACCAAAAAAAATTAAAATGAATAAAAGCCAGAGCTTATGGTTTCAGGTAATGCTGAATCCAGCTACTCAAGTTGGATCATTAGTAATTGTCCCTCCCATCTCTCAAGTCCCCTATCTTCTTGGCAAATGGCTACCAACAACTCCAACCTTACCTCCCATCATTGGAGAGAGAGTTCCTCTTCCCCATTATCCAACACAACTCCCAGGATTGTCTCTCACTGACCTCCCATGGCCATCCTGAGCCAATCACTGTGGCAGGGGGCACTGAAGTCATTGATTGGCTGAGGCCGGTACACAGTCCCACTCCTGGCACTTGAGGTGAGGTGAGGGGTGGGGTTAGCTCCTTCCTGACTAACAGAACTAAGACAAAGAGGGATTTCACTCAATGCACATTGGGAACCTATGAACAGAAGGGGGAATGGAGGCTGGAGAGGCGCAATGGAAGCTGTTCACCTCCAAGGGGCTGGAGGAGAGAGGCCTCAAGAGGAGTACATGGATCAGCAAAAGTGGCTGGGCCCAGTTTGGCATTTGGGCATCATTCCAGGAGGAGTCCTGATGAGGTGAGGCAGGAGAATGGCATGGTCAGACATGGCTCTTAGCAAGGTCCCTGTGATAGGCAGTGGAGGAGATAGCCTGGAGGTGGGGGCCTATGCAGTGGCTGATGTAGTTGCGTGGGTAAGAGCTCATGAGCAAGAGTGGAGGAGAAGGGCACGTTCCAGAGACAGGTACCCAGACCGCATAAATGATGATAAGGACTTGATGATCATCAGCGGGTTGGACATGGGGGCTGAGGAAGAAGGAGGAGTACAGAGTGACTCCCATGTTTCTGAGCAGCTGGGTGTCATGCACCAAGAGAAGGGGCAGTTTTGAAGAAGAATGGGGGTAGACAGTGTGAATGGAGGAAAGAAGAGAGGGAAGGTGGCCATGGGATTGTGTCTCTGGCCCATGATCTTCTGAGTGCTCCCTTTATCCACACACCTTGAGCTCACTAGCTTGTTGAAGAAACAGAGACATGAAGGAAGAACACGCTGGGAGGGGGGCAGATAGCACGGAGCTGGGGCTCCTGCTGGCTTTTCCTACAGCAGAGTTTAGGACAGTTCTGGGAACCTAGGTGGCTTCATGACCATTTGTGATGAGGACCTGCCACAGCCACAGGCTATAAGCCAGAGGGGCCAAACCTCTGAGGAAGCCCTGTCTGTCCCCACGCAGCCCTCTCCATAGCCCAGCACTGGGCTGAGGCTTGGCTGGCCGAGTCTGCTCTGGGCAGCATCCCTGGCCTGGGGTATGGAGTAGCAGGGACCCTCACCCTGTGCTCACCCTCCCTCTGCAGACCCTGCAGGGCATGTCATTGACCTGGTAAATGACAAGCTGCCAGACATCAGCATCTCAGAGGAGGACAAGAAGAAAAACCTGGCGCTGCTGGAGGAAGCCAAGTTGGTGAGTGAGCGGTTCCTGGCCCGCCGTGGGAGGAAGTCCAGGAGCAGCCCCGGAGACTCCCCATCAGGTAGGATGTACCTGAGCCCCTCTGAGGATGGCTGGGAGGGGGAGGGCCAGGCCCCAGCTGCACTGGGAGCCCTGCTTGGAAGGGGTGGTCTTTGACTTGCCTACCCCCAGCCTCTGGGCCAGGAGGACTGAGCCTTATGGAGAGGATCAGGTGAGGAGAAGACATCTTGCCCCATTTCAGAAGCTTCAAAATACTGACCCAGCTGTAGCCCAGAGAACTCTGCTTTTTGTTTTTGGGGCCTGTGTGTGACCATCGTGGCTTCCTGTTTCTATGAGAAGTGTCAGCCCATATGATACCCATGAACTTCACAGGGGCTCCCCCAGCTCTGAATCTTGCATAGTGAGAAATCCTCTCTGTGTGTGATGCCCGTGTGCACAGACCCCTGGGTCACCCTACATGGATAAGTCTACATGACCTCCCCACCTTCCCCAGGAGGTCCTGCTCTATAGGCATCTCCTCAGCAAAGGTCTGGAAAGGCCAGCACTGGGCCCTTCTCCCCAGTTTCCAGCTGTGGGCCCTGGAAAGGATCCTAGGCACTGTGAGGAAGGGGAATGTGGTCTTTGGTGTCTTCATGGAATTTCTGGATTAGACTGAAGCTTTTCCTGGGCCCTGGAATCCACCCTGCTACACCTTTCACTAAAGTCACTCTTTTTCCTGAGCAAAGAGGTAAGGCAAGTTTTAGACAAGTCTGAATGTATTTAGAAGGCAAGGGGAGCATCTGAAGTCAGGGTCATCCTGTCAAGTCTGAGATATACAGCTTTTGGAGCTGTGCCTGACAAGAAATGGCAGGTCCTCTGTTTCTAGAAGGTGCTTTGAGGTCAGGCCAGGCAGGCTGAGGGGTGTAACCCCAATCTTCACCCCTGCAAATGACCCAGTGCCCCCTCTTTGGGGCTGGCAGCAGGGAGGCACTCGGCTATGGGAGGGTCCTTCTATGGCAATCCAGAACCAGCCCCTGGTTTCAACGAGGCAAACCTAGTTCCTTCCCAGAGGTCAAAAGTACCTGAAAGCATATCTTTGTTAAACTGAAGCCCTAAACCTTCACTAATGCTGCCAATTTTTGTCTTTCAACAGCTGTTTCCCCAAACCTCAGCCCCGGAGCTTCTCCTACACCCTCTCGGAGCAACTCACTCACCATCCCCACGCTGCCTGGTGAGGTCCAGCCCCCTCGGCATTTCCTGCCATTTCTCCCTTTGGGTGGCAGCTCAACCCCTCCCCTGGCCTGACCAGGAGGCCTCCCATCTTGCAGGTTTCCCAGGCAGACCCCCTTTTTGGCCCCCTCCCCAGGGGCTCCTAGCTGGGCCTGGCTGGGCTGCCTCAGAAGTGGCAGATATGTTACATTGGGGTTTGGGGCTAATGTGGGGAGACAGGTCCAGCCCAGGATGAGGTGGGTTGTGGGGAAGGGGCTATGACCTGCACTCTCCTAGAGAGAAGTTAAAAAGAGGTCACTTCAGAGCTTACTTGGAAAAACCTCTGTTTGGGCCACTCTTTGCCTTTTGGCTTCTTTCCTTTCATTAGGCTGTGCCCTGGGCCACACCCTCAAACCAGCGGGGAAGGAGGGTGCCAGGGAGAGCAGCCTGCCTGTGTCAGAGCTGTGGGCAAGCTCAGGCTCAGGCCAGGCAGCCTGGGTTCAGACCCAGCGCTCACACGTCCTGTGTGGCCTTGACCTCCCTCCGCCTCAATTCCTTGTGTGGCTTCTGTGATAATTAAATGAGGATTTGCCACAGAACCTGGCGTGGGAGAGGTACTCAGCAAATGGTGGTGTCACTGGCTCCCAGGCCTGGGGGACACAGGGAGGACGTTCTGGGGAACTAGATGTGCTTTGCCAAAGAAACAGCTGAGCATGTGGGGTGCTGGACAGCTTTCACCAGTGTCTGGACCTTTCCAGGTTTGGATACGTGCAGTGGTTCGCAGTCCCCTCTGCCCGGAGCACCAGCACAGGTAACAGGGGCCCCATTTGGGTTTTCTATGCCAGCCGGTCTCTCCTCTTCCCCCTTAACCCCAAGAGGCCCTTCACAACCCCCTGAAGTGAGGGTGCTGGGTGGGGGAGGCACCTGCATCACCTCTAGAGGCCTCCTTGGGGCTATTTCAAGAGGAGATAAGGTCCCTTCGCGTCACTGACTGACTCGTATTTCATTTCTCTAGCAGAAGGGGGATGAGGCCAACGTCTCTTCACTTCACCTCGGCGAGCCTGTGAGTTTGAGCTCTGCCCAGTTTGGGTGTGGGAGACACAGTGTCCCAGCGGCCTAGGCTGGCCCCAGGCAGCCTGGGAGGGGGTGCACAGGAGTGGAGGGTCGAGGCTGGGGAAGCAAGAGGTTGCTGTGCCCCACTGTGACGGGAAGTCTGAGGTGGACAGGGTGAGGAGGCAGGATTCCATGGGGTGACCTGCATGGTGGTCCTGCCTGTAGCCCTGCACCCCAGCCAGGCTGCTGGCCGGAGACCAAGGGCACCATGGGGCCCAGCAGGAGCCGGGCAAGACTGCTGCTCTAGTGAAATTGCAGGGAGGCCCAGCCCCTGCTTGGGATCCTCCCTGGAGGCAGCAGGAAAACCTCATCTTCCCCTCACACCTCTCAGAGGAAGGCTCTCGAGAGGGTGCTGAGGGCAGTGTATGCTACAATCTCATCTAGAACCGGGTCTGGGCCAGAGTCCTCTGGGAGTTCCAGGACGCACATAAAAGAGCCACGCAAATGTCCAGACACAGCCACGTGCTCCTCACAAAGCAGACCCTTGGGAAGTGAAAGGAGAGTGAACCGAGCAGTAAGATACTGCTTTTGCAAGAATCACCTCATCTAACTATTCATAACCCCTTTTGGATTATGGAACTCTCTGATAAGTTGTTAAAAGCTATGCATTCTCTTCCCAGAAAAATACATAGAGCACACACACAAACATGCATATATATTTGCATATAATTTCAGAAGGTTCACAAACCTAATGGGAAACATGAATCCCTAAAAGTTACGGGCTTTACTAGGCAGAGCCAGGACTAGAATCTGGGACAACTGAGTCAAGGCCAAAACATGTGACTGCCCCCAAGCTGCCCTCTGTCCCACTCTTCTCTCTGGCTCCTAGCCCTTTGGAAGTCCTTGGCAGGTTTTGAATGGCAGGTCCCTGGGTGTTTTATGAACCTTAGGCTTGTCTGTGGGTCCTCGTTATTGGCTCAGACTTCCACTGAGCTCACACCCTTCCACTGAGCTCACACTCACACACATCCCTTAGCAGGGTCTATGGGTCAGAGGCCCCGTAGCAGAAGTGGTCCCAGTTGTCTCCTCCCCAGCCTGCCTCCAGGGTCCCCGTTCTACCTTGTCTCTTTCAGAATATCCCCAAAGGGCTAGCTGACCGGAAGCAAAATGACCAGAGGAAAGTGTCTCAGGGCAGGCTGACTCCTCGCTCTCCCACAGTTGAGAAGTCCAAAGAGATTGCAATAGAACAAAAGGAAAACTTTGACCCCCTCCAGTGCCCTGAGGTCGCACCCAAGGGCCCAGCTTCTGGCCCAGGCAGTGTGGGGAAAATGGCTCTGAACAGCCCCCAGCCTGGCCCTGCTGAGAGTGAGCTGGACAAGCCGCTCCCGAAGACAGCCAGGGAGGGCAACCCTCTGCCCAGAAGTCCAGCCCAGAGCTCCGGAGGGTCAGCTCCCCTGGCACCCCAGGGTAAAGGCACAGCTGGAGAGCCAGTAGGGTCTAAGGTTGGCTTCAAAGCCGAGCTTCGGCCCCCTCCTTCCCGGCCGCCCCTGCTGCGAGGGGTCTCCTGGGACAGCGGCCCTGAAGAACCTGGCCCCCGGCTACAGCAAGTGCTTGCCAAGCTGCCCCTGGTTGAGGAAGAAAAGCGTTTTGCGGGCAAAGCTAGCAGCAAGCTGGCCAAGGTGCCTGGACTCAAAGACCTTCAGATACAAGTGCAGCCCGTGCGGATGCAGAAACTGACCAAGCTTCGTGAGGTGTGTTCCTGGGGGCCAGCGGGGTGGGGTGTGCACTCCAGATCCCTTCTGGGAGGAAGACCTCTGGGCTGAGCTGGGCCCTGGGGCAGGACAGTTCTGGCCTGGACTTGGGCCTCATGGGGCCCTAAACTTCTCCACCCTGATAAATCAGGTCCACTGTGCAGCATCTTCATAAACACATTTCGGGTGCTTTTACCCCACTTGCTAGGGTGAGGTCGGTGTGGGATATAGTTGCCACACACACCACATTTCAGGGGGAGGTGGTGTGCGAAGGCACAGGGGCCCTCAGCCTGGGCTGTGTTATCCCCCCTGCAGCTGGAGCTGGTGGCTCATAAACAGGAAGCCCTTGATGGAGTGCCTTGTCATGCCTAGGACTGGGTTAGGCAAGGATGAAATAGCTTTTTCCTTCATCACGTCCCCAAGCTTTCCTTCCTGATGTCTGTTAACAAAGGGCCTCAAATCCATCCCCAAGTATAATAATGACCGAGAGGAACTGCTCCCCACAGTGGTAAATTTCTTCCAGCATTCATGGTGTCCCCCAACTTTCATTGGCCATCAAACCAGGCGCAGTGGTCTCTGCCACCTTATACAGGGGTGACCGGGGGTGTTCAGAGATGGAGGGGAGGGAGACCAGGGTGTGAGGGACAGAAGTGGTCAACAGGACAAAGGAGCCTTTATCCAGTCCCCTCTCCCCCAGAGGCCAGCCAGCAGGATGCTTCGGGGTAGACCTGGCACTCCCACAGCTAGACAAGATCTCCTGGCTCCTCTACAGAGGGTCATGGGACAGGGAAGGGACAGAGGGACCTGGTAGCAGTCAAGCACATGTGAGGAGGTTTCTGTGCTGGCAGGGACACACTCCATTGCTGACCACTGTCCTATTCAGAAACCTTCCACGATACTGAGTTCGAAGCTCAGGGGATGCTAGGAACTAGCTGCTGATATTAACATTTTACACAGAAAACCCCACCCAGTCAGGAAGGCCTCACTGACTAGTGGGTCAGCACAGGCCTGGAAGGGCTGTCTGCGGTGGCCCCTAGTCCCAGATCTCTGGGGAAGGTGGCACCAAGGACCCAGACAGCCAGGTATTTGCCTTCATGGACCTCTGGCAATGAAGAGAGGCTAAGCCCAGGCAATAGGCCACCCCACCCAATAACCCTGCAAGCTTTTCACAGGTGTGAGCCAACCTGTGCCACATACTGTGGTCAGAATCCCCATCTCTCCTCAGCTCTGCCTGCTGAGGCCCCAGGCAGGAGAGTGACTACTGAGCCTTCTGCCTTGAGGCAGCAATTCTCAGGTTTCATTTGTCTGGAGAGTCTAACAACTCAAGAGTTGTCACAACAGGCCACTGAGAATGAGTGGAGGCAGCCACAGCTCCTGGAAGTGGGCACTAACGGCCTAGAACAACAGAGCAGGAAGCTCCAGCAGCTTGGAGCACAGCCATGAGCCCACCGACGATTGTTTCCTGTGGCAGCCACATACACATATCCAGGGGGCTCTCCTTTCCCCAGAGCCCTGGGCTCTGCTGTGTGTCCTCCAGCCTCAGCCACAGTGTGGCTAGCAGCTCATTCACCCAGAGGCCCTAGGCTTATTTAAAAAGCAGATAGTTCTTAACTCAAGGAATATGGTGCCACCGGTGGGTTTCAAGCCCCTTTGTGGGCTGGGAGAAGGACTGTCTTCCTGGTGCCCCTCAGATGTCACCATGTCACAACTGTCCACCCACTTTGGTGGCTGCCCCTGGTGTCTCCCACATTAGGCTGAGTGGCCACAGAGCCATAGACAGAACTGAGAAAAGAATCCTGTCTAATGTCCTCATCTGAAATGTTGTATTTTGCTTTTTCTAAAAAGGAGCACATCTTGATGAGAAATCAGAACTTAGTGGGGCTCAAGCTTCCAGAACTTAGTGAAGCAGCGGAGCAGGAAAAAGGTAGGTGGGGTCAGGGAAGATGCTCTCCTCAGGCCAGGGCTGGGTTCATTTTTGCCAGATCAAAGAAGGTAAAAGTGCAAAAACTAGATTTTGTGTCAGAGCCTTGTCCATCCCAGCAGTGAAAGCAGGCCCTGGGTAAATATTTGCAGATAAATAAGTTGATCAGATCATATTTCCTGCCCACGCAGAGAACCTCTAAGTTGTCTTCTTCCCATCAGCCCTCCTTCTAGACCCTGCCAGCCTTCCTTGAGTCATTTTAGCACAGAGTGGGCCTGGAAAGGTGACCCAGGCCTGAACTTTTGACATTTCCTTTTCTACTCACACCCAGGAAGCCACCCAAATAGAACAGTTCCTCTTTTCAAGACATCAGAGTCATCTCTTGCTTTCTAATCTGCTGTCACCACAAAGTCCAAACCCCAGTCCTTCCCTCCTAGTGACTGTAAGTCACCACCCAGCCATCCTGCCAGACTCATCTTCTGAAAAATGAGACTTTGGGTCTTTTTCCCTGACCTCCCCATCCTTGCCTCACCTCTCCTGATATCTCATATCTCATGCTACCTGTAGTCAGTCTCAGCATAGAAACCTTCTGCTTAAAGACTGTCATATGGGCATGTCCAGGGTGCCACCAACCATGTTGGAAGACCCTAGTCTGAAATAAAGTAACTAACACCTACCTAGTCAACATTAACAAGAAGATTCCCAGAAGTAAAATTTCCAATAATTTTTAATTCTTGACTTATTATTTATTATTATATTATTTCTGTTTTTTATTGAATTTGTTGGGGTGACATTGGTTAATAAAATTATATAAGTTTCAGGTGTACAAGTCTATAATACATCATCTGTATATTGTATTGTGTTCACCACCCCAGGTCAACAATTTTTTAAAGTACTAATTGTTTACAAAATTAACCATCTTTAGAGGAAATCTTCCAAAAAAATTATTATATACGTCTCTGCTTTTAATTTTTAATTTGTTTATTAAAGCAGATTCAAAACACTAGGAAAAGATTCAATGACATGGAAGCATGGATCAGACTGACGAATCTCAGAGGAATGGAGGAGGGCGGGTGGGGGGAGGGGGAGAGATTAACCAAAGAATTTATACACATATATGCACAACCCAAGGACATGGACAATGGTGTGGAGAGGGACTGGGGAGTGGGGTGGGATGAGGTGGAACGGGTCATTGGGGAGAAAAAGGGAGGTCTGTAATATTTTAAACAAAAAATCAATTAATTAATTTTTAAAATAAAAAATAAATAAATAAATTTCACCCATAACCCCATAAATTCTGAAAAAGCAACAATTTCTATTTTTTCCAGTATTTACCTGTTTTTATAATTTTTTCACAATTAATTTGACGGCAGATATAACTTCCTGTCCCTACCTTTTAAAAGTCACTCCCTAACTACTTTCATATATTTTGACACGTTCTCATATTTATCATTTAATGGGCACACACTATCCTTTTGTGCTGCTGTATCTATTGTTGGTATTTCAGATGTTTACAGCTCTTTTAACTGTGATGAGCCCTACCATAAACAGCTTTGTACTTGTAGTTTATTTCTTTCTTCCTTTAATTGACTCCCTTGGGATAAATTCTCAGGCTTGAGAGTCACTGGGTATAGTACAGAAGCATTTGCATTTACCGAATTGCCTCCAAAATATAAAGCTCCTGCAAAGACAGTGAGGAGCCTTTCTCCTGAGAGGGACCAGCACTAGACTTTGCTTTGCTTCTGCTCCTGATTGGCCAAAATACAGTGAGAACCAGATAATTGATAATAATAACAAGTATAATGTGTTATTAGTATTAGTGTGAAATGCCACTTCATTATTACTTCAATTAATTTGCTAGCAAGCAAGCTCAAACTTAAAATTTTTAAATACTTATTTCCTTTTTTTCCCCTTAATGGGTGAATTCCCATTTGAGTCTTGGGTTTTTTGTTGGTTTGTTTTTGTTGGTAATGCATATAAACTCTATAAATATTAGCCATTTGTTGCCTGTATTTTCCTCTGTTCTTCATTCTATCGTTTTTTTGCTTTTAAACAAGTTTGGGGTTATTTTAGAGAAATCAAAGTTTTTATATAATCTTTTTTGCCTATCTTTTCCTTTGAGAAGTCTCCATTATTCAGATCATTATAAAACTATTAATTCTCTTTAACTGGGATAGCAAGTCTATTTTCCACTAGTCTATCTATAGTTTGATCTATTTATATTTATTTTGCTAATACCTCTGAAATTTATTTTAACATAGATATTTGAAGATTTAAGCTCCTGTTACCTCAATCATATTTTGAGAGTATTTACATTTCTTGCTATATTGTGGCTTAGATAGGTATATCCTATGTTCTTTTTTATATATTCCAAAGACTAGTTCTAAGCCTTTGGTTTTATTTTATTCTGATCAGAACTGCATCATTGAATTACTGCTGCCTTGTTGTATGTTCCGGTGTGCAGGGGGGTTACTTCTCCCTCATTGCTCTTCTTTTTCAGAATATTCATTATAACCTAGATACACAGATTTAGTGTAAATTAATGGAAAAACAACTGGACAAGATGTCAGGAGATTTGAGTTCATGCCCCAGTCCAGCCGCCAGTTAATGGGGTCTTTAAATAAGTTTCTCATCCTCTGTGGTCTCCACTCCCTCTTGGATTAGATGACCTAAGATTCAAGGATTTCAGGTCCTTTCCAGTTTGTCTCTTTACTTACCTAATTCTCTAAGTGAAACTTATACCATTTTACACATTTTAATTGTGATCACTCTAAAGCTGCATGTTAGATTCAGAACTGTTCCAGTTTGTTTGTTGTAGCTTACAGATTCTTAAATTATTTAATTTGCAAACATTTGGTTCTCATTCAGGCACATGGTTTGTCCCTCTATTAATTTAGGTATTCCTTTTTTTTTTCCTCTGAAAGATTTAAGGTTCTTTTTATAGGTCTCCCATATCTCTTATTGGGGCACATTGTACATGACTTATATTTTCGATTATTTATGAAGATTATTTTTCATTAGGGTTTTCTAGTTGATAATTAGTGACACAGATGAATGCTGCTTGGTTTATCATGCAAGTTTCTTGTATAATATTATTATTACCAAATGGTAGAGAGTGATTATTATAGGGCTTAAAGAGCGTAATTATGATTAGAGTGATTACTATGTCCCAGGTACTGTGCTAAGCATGTGACAATATTTCTCATAATGCTCACAGCCCTGGGAGGTGGACCTTCCTATATCCATCTTACAAATGAGGAAATTGAGGCTCGGGGAGGTTACAGTCACATGGTTATTAAGCCAGGATTGGAATCCAGATGTATCTAAATCCAAAGGCTCTTGACCACTTTGAAGAATGCCTTTCTTTTTCCAATTCACAATCTTTTCATTTTATCAAATTCACTATTTGTCTTAGTTGTGTGATTGTGTGTATTTCTCTTCTGTATCTATATATGTTTTATTACTTTGCAACATTCTCTAATGTGATAAGGTAATGGTGATAAGGAGAACTCTTGCCTTGTTCCTGTCTATGATTGACTTGTTTTTGTATTTTTCTTTCAAGGATCATGTGTCTGATTATTAAATGCACTATTTTAATTTTTAAATATTATTATTCCATATTTATATTGTTTTACATTATAAAAAAGAATATAATATGTAATCTTCTATTACATATTATATTTTATTTTATATGTTCATATATATACATATATATATAGTAAATCTTCACTGAGGATATTTTTTCCATTGATTTTTACAGAGAGTGGAAAGAAAGGAGGGGGAAGAGAGAGAGNTATATATATACTTATATTTTATATATTTCTTATAATTTACATTATTATTTTTTATTTTAAGGAAATATTCTTCTCTTGCAAGTCTCAAGATTTGTGTTAAATTTTATCAAATTGGTTTGAATATGTATTGAAAGAATAAAGGGTATTTTATCATTTAATATACTAATTAATAATATGGAATAAACCCCTGTGGTCCTGGAATAAAAAGAGCTCTTATTATCTAGGGCAGGGGTGGGAAACATCCAGCCTGCAGGCCATATCGTTTGGTCTGGCCCTGCCAAGGCAACCGCAGGCGGGACTAGAAATTCAACAAATCTAGGAGCTTTTTTCATAGCTAATTTTTAAGTTGATAATTTTGTATGGCCCAAGAATAATAATAAATATCCAAATGGCCCTTGGAAGAAAAAAGGTTCCTCACCCCTGATCTAAGGGGACAGAGATTAGGGAAACACTCAAACACTTCACTTCATACTGTGTTGGATTTTATGAGGGAGAAGGATCTGGAGGTGCTGGAAAAGTCTTCCCTAGAAAAGAGACATTTGAGCAGATGTCTAAAGACTAAATGGGAGTTCACTGAGCAAGGACATTCCAGGTGGAGGGAACAGCAGGTGCTGAGCCGAAGGAGGAGGAATGAGTTGCTGAAGATCCCAAGATGCTGGGGAGCGTTAACCGCATAGGGCCTTGCAGGTCCTACTGTGGGCTCTAGCCCTGGTCCTAAGAGCAGCATGAAACCTCCTAAGGTGCTGAACTGGGTTTGCATCTGAGAGGTTCCTCTGGCTGCCTGTGGCCAGTGGGTTGAGCTGGGAAAGGGGCTCAGGAGTGCAGACAGAGGAGCAAGATAGGAGGCTGTTGAGATAGCAGGGGAGCTGATTACGACAGCCGGGACAAGGGCCTCTCTGTGGTGGAAGGGCCTGAGCCTTCTTCATCTCTGCTTCCCCAGCATTCAGCCTTATAACTGGCCCACAGTCTGCTCACATCTTTGGCTTGAAATGACCTCCAAATCATTCCCATCCCACAAGACCCAAACATCCTACAAGTGGTCCCTGAGAANAGAGAGAAACATTGATGTTAGAGAGACACATCGATTGGTTGCCTCCTGCATGCGCCCCGACCAAGGCCAGGGATCAACCTGCAACCTAGGTACGTGCCCTTGACCAAAAATTGAACCCACTACCCTTCAGTGTGCAGGCTGACACTCTACCACTGAGC